GAAAGATGAAGGGGTTAAAAACTCATAAAATCCCAAAAAATATGGTGGCGAGTACTTCAGACATGTATCGTCCATACGAGGCCGGCGTTTTGGGGGGGTGTAAACGAACATTTTTGAAACTAGGTCCCAGAGTGGAAAGATTTCAAAACTCCGTATATGCCGCTCCGTGGTTACTGCCTCTCCGCAATGTATCTGAGACGCTTGCGTCATCGCCCCGCCTCTTGTTAAAGCACGCATGCGCCGCACTCAGAAAATAATGACAACAACAATGTAGCTTGTTGGTTTTGTAATCCAGTGCGACCCGAAGCAACAGTTCAACCTCATCGTCCGTCCATACTAATGTAGTACCAGCTCGCCCACTCGCCATGTTGTCTGTTTACTAAATTCCGCGCATGCCCACGGAAGTTTGGGCTTGATCCCGTCATTGCGCCACAGCGCCACCAACAGGTCTGGCATAGTTTCACAGCGTTTTCAGGCGTATTGACTACATTCATATGGACGCACACATTTACTGAGCTAACTCCGTGTTTACAGAAAAAGTTTCTGAAATTATAAGCGTTTTGTCTTCGTGTGGATATAGCCTAAGTTCTTGCGCCACATGCAAGAAAATAAAGAATAAATAAACAATATGTAATTATATGTTATCAACACGTGTTATTCAAGAGGAACGGCCAAAGATTCAGGAATCATTAGTAAGAAGAATGATCTGTACAATCATCATGGTTTCATTATTTTTGGAGCTAACTGCAGGTGAAAACAGATGAAGTCTGACCTCTGAAGCTAAGCGAGGTAGGGCCTGGTCAGTGCTGTGATGGGAGACCTCAAGGAACAGCAGGTGCAAACTTTTGTTGTGCCCATTGACAAGACGTTGAGTCTGGTGTGTGTGTGAACGGTTGGTCAATGGCACAGGCTGGTTGCCTCGCTTCTGTCAGTGAGCCCCAGGGCAGCTAGGCGACACTAATAGTTCATCACCTGTGCGTATGAGCGTCTGTGGATGATGTAAAACCAAGCATTTTAGTGCCATGGAGTGGATTTCTGTGATTTTGCTTCTTCGTATTACTAAACCCTGAGCTCTTTCAGGCCTTTGTTTTCATTGCTCTGCTCTTCTCAGTTTTTGTCCCCCGTTTGTATTTTAGTTCTGTTTCTGTATCCTGGACTTTATTCTGGATTTGTTTTGCTCAGATATACTTGATTTGCAGTGGTGAACATTTTGAGTCCTTCCTCATTCTAATCTAAATTGTGACACACTGAGCTGTGTGTGGGTGTGTACGGGAAACTTGTAGCCACATGTTCAAATGTATAAGAGATCCTCTATTCGTTCCACAGTGAGGAAAATTCAATGTCAGGACTAAACATGGGAGGGGGCAGCATTTCAGATTCATCCAGTAAAAAATCTAAAACAGTCTTCCTGAAAATGTGAGACAGGCTTCTTCTCTGACCTTGCCAAAATCCGGGTTTAAAAACAGTTATTTTTCACTCTTTTGTATGTACTATAATTATTAATGATTTTAATGCATTGTTTAATTGTAGTTTTCTTGTTTTGCGGTGAAAAGCAACACGGGTGAAAACAACACGCCGTGACACGCATCAAAAACTAGAACTTGAATACATTTGACACTGATACTATATACTTTAGAGAGAGATGGACGTTGGTGCGCATGCGCGATCAGAGGCCAGGGTCTCGCGCTTGCAGCAGGTACACTTCTTCCCCCCCTTATTATTCCACACGTGTTCACCTCTGTGACCTTGGGGGGCGAGGTCCTCTGCTGCACCGAGCGAGGCGTTAAGAAAGACAAAGAGCCCGCATTAAGTGTTAATCTGGGCAGCCTTGGGCCAAACTAATAACGGCACAATTGAATCAGCTCCAAATAAATGATAGCGCTGCGGTTTAATAACACGTCATCTCTCTTCCGGACAGCGCGAGGCCTGGCGCGTCCGTACGTCTTCATCACGGCTCCTACAGCGACACGCGTTGACTTGCCTAAATACATTCACTCATTACACAACATTGCAGCCAGACCAAAAGCCAAGACATAGCTCTACACACTGGCTCCACCGTGAGGCCAAAGTAAGTAATGCATCGAGAGGTACACTTTGATTTTTGTTTTTGTTTTTTAATATGACTTTAATAGTAATAATTAAAAAAAATATTTTATTGTCTTGACATTTTTCTCATGGAACAGTAGAATCTGTAAACGGGGGAAATCACTGTCTCAACACAACATAACAAGCTATTCCCGTGCGTGGATAAACAACAACGGAGACATCTGGCATGTTCATTTATAAGCATTGTAAGCATTGCGTCTCTATAGAATGAATGGTGCTTGTGGTAATCCGCTATTCGAACCTCAATAATGTATATGACACTTGTTTTCGAATACAGGGCTGTGCAAAGGTCTGTGGGCAGGTTTGATTAAAGAAAAGAAAGAAACATACACGTAAAACATTCATAACGCAGCTCGTAATATATTAAAGCAGAGAGAACAAAGGCTACATCCACGTGTGTACTCCAGCACCGCAAAAGCAAGGACAATCCTCAATACAAAGTGTGTATCGATGTTGAGTAATGATAGGAAGTGTGTGTTTCTTTCCCCAGACATTTGCACAGTTCTGTCTCTTGTTCGTTTTTGAAGATTTTGAGATTTGTTTTCCCATAATCACAGTGATGTCGCGTCTGGCTCCACGTAAACTAACCTAAGCATAGAAAGAGACATGTAGAAAACAGTATATAAATCCAATTGAGCCTCAAACTATAAAAATGTTGCAAAAGTCAATCTGTAAACCGTGGCACCATTCTGCCGTGTCCTTATAAAACAGAGGGGATTGGGATTAGATGAACAGTCCAACACAAATAAACACAATGGAGCGGACATTCCTTTGTGAGTTGGTTTTACTTCTAGAATGTGAGTGAGCAGAACGTATCATTCATACAAAAATGTAATATCATACTTTGAAGAAATGTGTAAACAAAGCTTCTGAACAAAAAGATGCCGTCACATGCTCTCCGATGCTGGCATTTGTAAAAAATATACAGATAGAAATATATACACACATCTACATACTCACGGTGGGCATAAGCAAGGGGCCGCTTGCATAGTTCAGTGCATGCATAAGCCGTTTGTCATGCAACGATATATTTTATGAATGAGAATGTCTCTTCCGGTCCAGTCACTGTTTGTGTTCTACTATTGCAAGCTCGACATGTGCCTGCTCAGGTCACATGTGCAGAGGAGGAGGAGGAGGATGGGTGGGAGGGGCCTCACCATAATGATCTTTACATGTATGGTGACACTGCAGGCATGTATCGGCGAGATGGGCTCACGACGGCGGCATCAGCTCGGGCCTTACATGTAGCTAGCGAGATGGCTACATACTACACTGTTCAGCGGGAAGTAGAGCTGCCACACAAGATCTATCCTTTTGTTTTTCTTCAGTTACATCAGAGGTACTTTTTAAAGGAGACGACAGGCGCTTAAATTGGTTTTCAATTGGGTTTTTAAGGGATGTATGCGTATTTCTGACTGCGCGACGCTGTACTATATGCACATTAAGAATTCAAAATAGTCCCTCCCCTTGGTAAACATACGACCAGTTAGATTTGCTGAAGGATAATATTTAAACAAATGACAAGAAGCCTCAAGGATTTGAATTCATTTTGACCAATCAGGAAGCTGCGAAGGCGAGCATGGGTGGGGCTAACCAGTGCTTGTCTTGAAAAGTTTTCGCTCTCTCTTTTCACATGATGAAAAGTGACTGAGCTTGACTTTAATTAATTTAAGCTTCGGTGTGACGTCTCTAGTTTCACAGTTTGGGTCAGAATAGATGTTAAAGCAACCATTCAACAACATTTATGGACATTTATCAATATTTACGGACATTGGTCATCCGCCCCTTATGGACGAACAGCTATATGTTTTTTTCTTGTGTTTGAACTGTTTAATTCTCTGATCTGTGTTGGCAAATTCAACGGTTTTGAAAAGTCCTCCGAGATATACTGTTGTGATTTAGGGCGATACATGAATAAATTGAGTTGAATTATTATAACGTTCTGCAACAGTGTAACCAAAGACAAAGTGATGCTGCCTCTGTGCCCATCTCTGAATAGCAGCCCGGTGTTTGGCAGGACGGTCCCAACAGAAGGTGAGTGCGGAGTGAGTGTTGTCTCTGTACAAAACCCTGTTCATCTGGAGGAATGGTGCAGTGTGGCAGTCAGGACGTCCCGTGTCCTGTGGGGACAGCGGAGCAGGAGGCCATGAGGCTCACGTCATCAACCCAAACACACACATGTAGGAGCTCGCCACATAACAAACATCAACAACATGGTCCCATCCTGCACGTCTCTTTCCAGTCTCCTTAATCTGATTCAAAATACTTAAAAGGCTCTTGCACAATGACATTATCGAGGAGCATATGTAAACAGCAGTTTGGGTTAAATAGGCTTAATTGTGGTTTACTTGAAATTACATTTTAGTGCTTAATAAATATTAAAATTTATATAAATTTATAACCTGCAGTTATACAATTCAGATTAAATACTATTATTATCTGAGGCACTGACGTAGTTGATATATCGCTCGGAACCCTGACAGGGAGCGGTATATAAGGAGATTTTTGGGTAATTTCTCTGCATCCACATGGTAGGAATTGCCAGTAAACTTTTGGTGACTCAGTCGTCCATCTTTCCATCTTGTGCAAAGTCACATTTAAACTCACCAGCGACTGAGATGGTTGTCTCCCAGCTATGCTACAGACAGAACAAGGCAATCATGTCAATACATGTGCAGTCCATGCTTATGTACAATACATTAGTAGAATTAATTTTCCTCAGTATCAATGCGATCCATACAAAGTGCTTTGTTAAAATCCATTCCTTTATAACTGCAGCTATACGAACGGAAGTTTCAGGTTCAACATGGCAGCTGGTGTGACCACAAGGAGCTGTAGCTGTTTCAGATGTCCCACAATAACAACAGAAACACACTAGAGCTGCCCCCAGGATGTTACTTAGACCTCTGGCTGCTCTGTGTAGAGCTGATAGGGATCTTCCGAGTCTGCATTGGCTTTTTGCTCGGCTCCTTTTTGTTCTCTTTAGCAGACGCCAGTGTAGCGGCTTCTGCCCCAGAGTTTTTAGATCTCGTGGATGGTAATGACGGCGGTTTTGCTGCTGTGGAGGTCTTTGATGATTCCTTGTCTTTGGCCTGACTCGATACTTCTGACGCCTTTTTGTTTCCCCCATGAGCATCTCTCCCCTCCCCAACACAGTCCTCTTGATTCCCTTTGGACTCTGCTTTTCCCACGCGCCCCTCCTTCGGCCTCAGGGCAGTTTTGAAAAAGGACAACGCCTTATCCTCCGTCTTACTGTTCCTGCGCGCCCGGGCCGGCGGCGTGGCATTAGTAGACACCCCCACACTCGAAGACCTCAGACTGGCCATGGAGGAACTACTGCTGGAGCTCCTCCCCACTCCCCGGTGCTCTGCGGTCGGCCTGGTCGCTCTTCCCTCAGCCTTACCTGACCCCCCTGACCTGGATGTGGGAGGCCCCGCGTGGCTGACTTTCCTTTCAGAAGCCGCAGAAGTTCGTGGAGATTCCCGGCTGGCGCTCCTCTCCGCAGCTTTAGTCCTTGTTGACGCCGAGCTCTTGTCCGCTCCGGCTCTGGGCGAGGGCCTGCGTTGGCCGTGGGAGCTTTGCGAACCGGGAGAAGCACCTTTCCGCTGTTGGGAATCCGGGTGTAGCGAATCCTGGGTCTGCGCGGATCCTCTCTTGGACGGGGTCGCCGCCCTGGACGAAGCGCTCTTAGACGCTTTGGGCAAAACGTCGCTTTTGTCTTTGGGGTTCGACGGAGACACAGCGCTTTTCTGAACTCGCGATGGAGATTTGTCAAGAGCCGGAGAAGCGGGGGAGAGGGAACTAGAGGATGTGGAAGAGGTGCCTGCGCGTCTTTTGGGACTGCGCTCGCCGTCCAGTCCAGGTTTACCAGAGTTTTTCTTGTTGACATCCTGAGTGGAGGCCCTCTGCTGGCGGGGGCTCGTCTCTGCAGGACTAACCACATTGTTATTGTCTGCGGTAGGTGTGGTACTTCTCTGCTCGGCCTGGGCCACAGCTCTGGAGTGCACCTGGTCCAAGAGTCTGCGGGCGCCATGGTGACAGGACAGACGATCCAGTTTGGGAGAGCCGCTGAAACAGGTGATGTTGTCCGCCACCTCGCCGATGCGTTCCAAAGTCGGCGACGAAGAGTGGGACTCCAGAGAGAAGCGTGAAGGCGAGTTGGAGCGCAGCTGGAGCTTGGCAGAGTGCGGCCACGACGGTTTGCTGCCATTTTCGCTGAGCGCCAAGGGGCTCGCGATGGAGGATCGAGACGTGAAGGTCTGCCTCTGCATTCCCCTGACTGCAGGTCGGCTCGACAATCCTAATGATAGAAAGAGTGTTCAAGAAGTTGTACAGGCTTCAACACGGCAGCAGGGTAAAAAAAAAGATAGAACATGGAAATGCATTATTCTACCACTACCTTTTCAATCCTCAGAGGCTGAAATAAAAAAATCAATAATCGTGATTATTTAGGCCATGATATAATTGACATTTTAAAATCAGTTACAGATATATGCAACATAAAGTTCAATGGTTATGGCAAGCATTAACGGAGGTATGTACCAAGAACCCAAAGAAGCTAAATGCTACATGGCCATATTTGGTCATTGAAAGCTGCACAGACATTTTCTTTCAACACAAATTATTATGTCTGGGTTCTATGGGGTTCGGTTATGTTTTGTCTTGCCTGAGTCCCGTTCACTTTCACCATTCATAAAACATTAAGTAAGATTTAATGTAATCGTCCATATAGTAGAGAACTGGTAACTTTTCAAAAAGGCAGAACGAAAGTCAATAATGTTGAATTTGGTTGTTTGTGTCAATAAACTACTGCTTTTCTACATTATTAGTGTACAAACATTTGAAATAGTGTTAAGTTCCCTGAGCCATGAATGAATGCAGATGTAATGCTGAAGTACAACTGTTGAAAGGGTTGGTTACTGCTGTTGAAAAGCGAGTTTTTCCTCCGCCCCTGATGTGGTGTGTGTTTCTCACCATCGTCTTCACTTCGTTCACCAGCGAACTCTGCAGACTCGGACAGCGAGGCCAGAGAGGTGCGTCTGGAGGAGCCAGAGGAGGCCTGGCTCGGAGGCCGACTGCCCATCAGCCGACTGATCCAGTGCTCACATAACGAGGAGCTGGTCGAGCCTTCAGCCATAAACATGAGAGTTAATAGTTTACAGTTAAAGAGTTTAACATGAAACATTTTGAAGAAGTTGTAAGAATACCTCCCACTGAACTGTTGGCGGACCAAGAAGGAATGGTGGCCCTTCTTTGATAGAACAAGATGTAAGCAGTTTGTTTGCACACCTCCTCCTCCGGAATGAGATGGACGTCGCTGTCGTCAAAGCAGTACCACTGTCCGTCGATGGAGTTCTTACAGTGAGCTGCGAGAAACACATGAAGGTTAACTTCACTCACGATGTTGTACAGTGTGATAGAGCTCTCACCAGTGTAGTGACCGCCCTGCATGGTGCCGTGGTGGTTACACACTGCATACAGATCGTACAGGTAGTCCTCGGGGTCGCGGCCCATGCCATATGGCCGTCTCCACGGTGACCAGTGAGAAGGCAGGCTCCAGCTGCTCTGGCTGCGCTTCACCATATGTGGGGCCATGTCCATGCCTGTGAGCGGGAACTTCACCATGTTCTGCATCTTCACGCGTCGGTCCTGGTCCTGTCTGAAGCGCTTCAGGTGCAGGATGAGGATGTCGGGCAGAGTCCACAGACTCAGCTTTATACTGCCCTGCTGCAGCTGCTTACAGTGAGGGCAGCGCCACGCGTCGTCTGGGGCCAGCTGCAACACATTTATCACACATGAGCACACAGAGGACCATAGAGGGCCATAGAGGACCATAGAGGACGCACTCCTCATCGGGATCCCTGGCAGGAGCATTCAAAAGCTCCAGTACGTACAAAACAGCGCGGCCAGGGTCCTGATGAGGGTGCGGAAGCATGAGCACATCACCCCCATCCTTCACACCCTCCACTGGCTCCCCGTTCACCTCCGTATAGAATACAAGATCCTCCTGCACACCTACCACTGTCTCCACGGTGATGCCCCCACCTACCTCACTGACCTCCTCACTCCACACTCCTCAGGCAGAACCCGGTCAGGCCAACAGCACCGTCTGCTCCCGCCCAGGACACGGCTCAAGAAAATGGGGGACCGGGCCTTCGAGGCCGCTGCTCCCCGTCTGTGGAACGCCCTCCCGGACCACCCTCCCGGACCACCCTCCCGGACCACCCTCCCGGACCACCTCAGGGCCCCACAGACGGTGGAAGCTTTTAAAAAGGGACTCAAAACCCATCTTTTTACTAAAGCGTACTGCTAATTTTATTTTTTTTATATAGTCTTTTATCTGATTTTATGTGTTTGCTTTTATTTATGCAGTTGTTTGTAGCACTTTGAGATTTGGTGTCAAAGGTAAAGTGCATTATAAATAAAATGTATTATTATTATTATTATTAGAGGACCACAGAGGACCACAGAGGACCACAGAGGACCACAGAGGACCACAGAGGACCACAGAGGACCACAGAGGACCACAGAGGACCACAGAGGGCCATAGAGGACCATAGAGGACCACAGAGGACCACAGAGGACCACAGAGGACCATAGAGGACCATAGAGGACCACAGAGGACCATAGAGGACCATATCGGACCATAGAGGGCCATAGAGGACCATAAAGGACCATAGAGGACCATAGAGGACCATAGAGGACCACAGAGGACCATACAGATCCATAGAGCACCACAGGGAACCATAGAGGACTATAGTGGTCCTTTAGAGCACGCACGCACACACACACACACACACACACAGAGCTCTTGTAGAGCACACATCACCTGCTCCTCTTTGGTGTAGAGCTGAAAACACTGAGCGAGAGAGCAGGTCTGAGGCTGCAGGTGCTGCTCCTTCACATGTCGCACACTCTCAGCGTCTGGAATGTACTCATCCTCCGTCATCTTAAACAGACTACACACAGCAACACAACCAGTGGAAAAAACGCAACACTATACACGTTTACATTAGCAAACAAAGTATCACTTACTAGTCTTTTGTCTCTTTGTCCCACTCAACAACAATCTTGACATGAGGCGGCCCCCCAGGTCCACACGACTTGAACGCCCTGAATGTGAACAGCACAAATATTAACACAAGAAGTCACAATACAACACTTTGAATAGAACCACAAGCCTCTACTATGTGGTGCTGCTGCCCCCTGGTGGTGGTCCATTACCTCTCCACAGAAGGATGGATGAGTGGCTGCTCTTCCTGAGGCAACAGATATGTGATTCCAACCACTCCCACCACCCGCAGAGTGAAGGGTCCGACCTGTGCGACAAATACAAACAATACAGCTTGAGGAATTTATTGAAAAGGTCAAGATTGGAAAGTAAAAGCCGTCTGTTTGTGTCCGCTGGAATAAGGACATTTCAGCTGTTCCATGTCTCAGTTCCATGTGTTGTTTTGTGTTTTATGTGATGTGTGTGTTTTATCCTGGACCGTGAGCCTGTGATAAAGTTTGATGATGATGATGATGATGGAGTTGTAACAGACTTTAGCCTCCGAAACTCAACCATGTGGGCTGTTGCACTGTGGGTAAAGTGCAGAGCCATCTTTCATACCTGTACGATGACTCCAGGCCTCATGAGGTGTCTCATCTTCTCAAGGATCTCTTTCTGAAGTGTGTCCCACGTCACTGTTCGCTCCAAGTACAGGATGAATGGATTTCCAAACCTAGAACAAACCATGTGGTCATTAAACTCTGCGTATTGTAAAAGGTACCGTTCTATACATTTAAAGTGGCCGTCACACTTTGACCACGCAATAGTTGTTTTTCATTTAAGCACTCAAAGTTTGATTTAGAGTAGCCTGGTTTTACCACACCATCGTACAAATTATATATCATACTAAGGTCTGGATTTGGAAGGGGTTAACTCCTTTTGCAGTTTGAAACGATTGGATCTAAGTTTACCGTGAGTCACTAGCATTTAGCCTAGCTTGAGCCATCTCCTTTACCACTAACGGAGCCCGTGGGGAGTAGTTCCACAATCTTTGCAAGCGATTACATTTTCTAAACATTCCTCTTGCTCCGGCTTCAATTTCTTGATAAAACCAGAACGGATTACTTTACAATCGCATTCTTCGCCATTGCCAAACTACAACCTGCCAATTCGGCGCAAACTCTTGACGCCACCCCCGCGCTCGCTGATTGATCGGATGGGATTCAACCGATGCACTGGGATCAGACCCAGACAGTACATGTGGGAAATAATAATGGGCCAGAGTTCACGGCTAAGTCCAGGCTATAGGTTCAGAGCAGTGTTTTAGTCATTCATATTCTCCTACAACATTACTCCTACAAGTTGATGTCTTAGTCTACCTGTTTTCCACAGTCTTCCTAAAAATGTGAGACAAGCTTTGTTCAAATCCAGGTAGCTGTGCATAAAACAGAAGGCTTTTATCGTCACTCTTTTAATGTACTGTGATTATTTATGATTATTTTTCAGTTTGTTACTTTTATCGGTGCAGCACTTTGGAAACCTGTTTTATAAAATGTGCGATATAAATAAAGTGGATTTGGACACTGAGGGGGCCACAGACCTGCGTCCCTGCTGTCCCGCACAGGCCCTGTTGCACACCAGCAGCACGATCTTCTCCGCCTGCCCACTGTTCTTGTTGGGGCTCAGGGGGGGACTGGAGGCGGCCTCTTGAATCTGCGCCGAGATCCGGTTGTTGTCCGTGCCGTACTTAAGATTGTTCTGGTTGAGATTGGCGTGAGGACTCCCTGTTGGTCACACAGAAAACAAAAAACATGTCATTTTTTTTCTCGAGCTTCAAACTCGGTATCAAACTCATTTTACTCAAGGGCCGCATACACAAATAGGAACTGGTTGGGGGCCGAAAGAATAGTAGGGATTTCGTTTTCTTATTGTTTCTTTTTTTACATTGCAAAGGTATTTTTGCATGACTTTTTTACAACACTTAAAAGTTTATTTTTTGCTAACAAAAGGTGTGAAAATGTGTGTGTTAAATTTGGTTTAAAACTGGACCAAATATTGTTTTATATTTAACTTCTAATGATGTGTTGGGTTAAAAGTTTAGAATGAATTCAATTTGGTTGCTTTCCTGAGAACAAAGATGATGTATAACATGCCATGGAATCCCATAAGAATCAATGCTGCAAGTTAATACAAATTTAAAATCATGTTATGCAGCCTGCGGAAATCTAATCTTTGGTAGACTAGCTGCTGCAGCCCCTCCCATCCAGGCCGGCCTCTCACCTTCGGCCTATCGCACAACAAAGCCTATTCCCCGCTGACCTATGCCTGCCAAGCCAGCAGCCTATTCCCCGCCTCCCTCTTCCTCCTCCATTTTGAGCGTGGCGTGCACTCTCTACCCTGCTTGCCTGGACACCACCACCAGTCCCTAGGTCCCGGGGGATCTTAATCGTGCACAATCAAGGAGCTTCACAGACCAAGTGCCGCTAGGGAAAAGGTTTATAGAAGGATTGCCCCAAATTTAGGAAAGAACCGGCAGGTATCACCGGAATGATTGACAACTAAGAGGACCAATAGTCTTGATGATCCACCCAGAAGTAGAAATTCTCCTATATATATTTGAGGGCCACTAATAATTGTCTTGCTGGACGGAATTGACCCACGAGCCTGAGTTTGACACGCCTGTTCCAGTGAGTGAATGAGCATTATCAATCGTCTGTGTGTTTGTGTGATTGAATAACAGCTGCTTAATGGTGTAATGGGCCTGGAGCTGGAGCTGGGCAGATTGTGGGGAATAAACAGGATGTGTACCGCCTCTCTTGGAGCGGATCTGGTCTGGTCTGAAGAGCTCCGGAGTCTCGAAGGCGAAGATGGAGTCGCTCTCCTGGATGATCTCCAGGTCGTCCTCGTCGTCGCAGAACGAGCGGTGGAAGCCGTCGTAGTACATTTCAGTGAGGACGATCTGGAACAAGCAGAGACTCTTCACATACTGCCAAGCGACCGGTGGAATACAGTAAAGACAGTGAATAATAAATGAGGGGTAAACCACTGCAAATATGGAACACAGGGTCAGACATTTATTAGGAACTTCATGTCAAAAACAGTTATATCATGGTCTGTGACAATTCCAACGCTGACTCCCGTGCTTTATTTTCGTATACGCACACGGAGTTGCGGTAACTTTAAAATCATGCTCTATATCAGCCACAGTTATTACCATAATAACTGTAAGAGCTGGATCAGATGAACTGTAGGTGACAAGCCGTAGCGACTAATAGCGTCGGATAACATGGATTTCTAGTTGAATTCTAACATTTTTGGACATAACAAAACCAGGTCAGGACCATGGTGTAAGCGGACCATGGTAGGTAGATAGATACATACATACATACAAACTGTACATACATACATATATATACATATACTACTGTTCAAAAGTTTGGGGTCACATTGAAATGTCCTTAATTTTGAAGGAAAAGTAGATAACTTTAAACTAGTCTTAACTGTAAAGAAATACACTCTGTACATTGCTTATGTGGTAAATGACTATTCTAGCTGCAAATGTCTGGTTTTTGGTGCAATGTTGTAATTGCTGCAAATGGAGGATTCTTTGACGAAAGCAAAGTTGGATGTAAAACAAATCTTATTTCAAATACAAATCATTATTTCTAACCTTGTCAATGTCTTGACTCTATTTTCTATTCATTTCACAACGTATGGTGGTGAATAAGTGTGACTTTTCATGGAAAACACTTGGGTGACCCCAAACTTTTGAACGGTAGTGTACATACATACATACATAAATACATACATAAATAGATTGATAGTTAGAAAGAAGGATACATACATACATACATATATAGATAGACAGATACATAGATACATATATAGATATATAGATAGACAGATACATAGATACATATATAGATATATAGATAGACAGATACATAGATACATATATAGATATATAGATAGACAGATACATAGATACATATATAGATATATAGATAGACAGATACATAGGCTATATCCACACGAAGACAAAACGCTTATAATTTCAGAAACTTTTTCTGTAAACACGGAGTTAGCTCAGTAAATGTGTGCGTCCATATGAATGTAGTCAATACGCCTGAAAACGCTGTGAAACTATGCCAGACCTGTTGGTGGCGCTGTGACGCAATGACGGGATCAAGCCCAAACTTCCGTGACGGGAACTGGGCATGCGCGGAATTTTGTAAACAGACAACATGGCGAGTGGGCGAGCTGGTACTACATTAGTATGGACGGACGATGAGGTTGAACTGTTGCTTCGGGTCGCACTGGATTACAAAACCAACAAGCTACATTGTTGTTGTCATTATTTTCTGAGTGCGGCGCATGCGTGCTTTAACAAGAGGCGGGGCGATGACGCAAGCGTCTCAGATACATTGCGGAGAGGCAGTAACCACGGAGCAGCATATACGGAGTTTTGAAATCTTTCCACTCTGGGACCTAGTTTCAAAAATGTTTGTTTACACCCCCCCAAAACGCCGGCCTCGTATGGACGATACACTGGATTGATAAAGTATTTTTGCGTTTAGGCCTGAGCTTGACTTCGTGTGGACAGGGCCATAGATACATATATAGATATATAGATAGACAGATACATAGATACAGCGACAGACAGACAAATACAGTCGAGTGGATCAGAAATCACCTCCTGTAACATTGCTCTCACCTGCTGCGATGGGATTTTGGTCTCTTGAGCCACCGCCTGCCGGAGCCGGGCCACAGTGCCGGACAGAGGCACGGCCACGCCCACTCTCATGCAGCTGGAGCACTTCCCCTGGTACACCACTGTCACATGGAGGGGCCTGCGGTGTCACCAAACATCACCTTAATTGGCTTATTTTTCCCAGACTATGAAAGATTCAAAATTTTCTAATTTTAGCAGCCCCTGTCAAGTCTGTCTGGGGTTGTTTGTGCCAGAGTTTGACGGGTTTCTTAATGTTGGCTTCGGCCGTGAGAATGTTGATCATGTTTTGCTGCGGTTGAGTGAGCGGTGTGCGGGCGGGTAGGCGGGTATGTGGGTAGGCGGGCGGGGATAGGTTCTGGGCTCTTACCGGGTGTGAGGCACGGGGATTGGCAGTGAGATGCAGAGGAAAGGATCAAAAGTGTTGCTCTGTTTCTGGCAGTGAGGGCAAGTCAGAGACGACCTGTGGGGACGAGACGACAGCTGAAGAGTTATCTGCAACACGCTTTCTGGAAGTCACTGCAAGATTTCTGTTTGACAAATGATTAGGCACAGGCTACATTGTTAGCTATGGATCCATTGTTTGCTATCCATTGTTAGCTATGGATCCATTCTTAGCTATGGATCCATTGTTTGCTATCCATTGTTAGCTATGGATCCATTGTTAGCTATGGATCCATTGTTAGCTATCCATTGATAGCTATGGATCCATTGTTAGCTATGGATCCATTGTTAGCTATGGATCCATTGTTAGCTATCCATTGATAGCTATGGATCCATTGTTAGCTATGGATCCATTGTTAGCTATGGATCCATTGTTAGCTATCCATTGATAGCTATGGATCCATTGTTAGCTATGGATCCATTGTTAGCTATGGATCCATTGTTAGCTATCCATTGATAGCTATGGATCCATTGATAGCCATGGATCCATTGATAGCCATGGATCCATTGTAAGCTATCCATTGTTAGCTGTGGATCCATTTTAGGGGTTAAAAGAAGCGGTAAACATGATGCAGGTGTGGTGCTGAGGACATAGTGTTTTTTACCATGCTATGTTACAGCTATGTATTCTTTTCTGTCATCTTTCTACTGTTTTTGTTGATTTGTGATACTAATTGATTATTAATTGGTTTGATATATCCAACGGCACACTTCAGTTTCACCGTTCGTATTTTATTTGTTGTTATTTTACATTTCAAGTGACATCAGCGTTTGTGTTATTTTCCAACGCCAAAGCGCCACCACCTACTATCATGTTTTATAATAAACTATGATCACAAACTATGGAAGGAGGGGGGGGAGCTCACCTGTATTGTGCCTGAAACAGTTCTTGTACAAAAGAGCCTGGTGCTGGGAGTGGAGAGCCCTCTGGTGCACGCTCCTCCTCCACAGGGGGCTGCAACACAACACACCGGACAGTTAGACAACACACACAGGACAGTTAGGCAACACAACACAGAGGGTTTTAGAATAAAGTGTGATTAAAAGTGATATTTTCCATATTCAAGTTGTGACAAATGGGTTTTTTGATCATCAGAATATTGTGTGAAATTCCTGATGAAACAAATACATTTTAACAACAATATAAACAGGCACAGAGGGCACAGAGGGGTCACTTCAACACTTTAGGCTGAAATGGCTGAAAAAAGTCCTTTGTTGTCATAATCTGAAGTAAGTCAATAACGAGTTGGAGCAAAACTTCACCCATGAGCACCTCCCTATTGGGTTTCACTGAACTAGCCGGTTACTATTGTCCATGTGTTTACAGTGCAACACTCCCGGCTGCATGTGACCTCCGTGACGGCCGTGGGGTCTCACCTTGAGCGGGGGTCTGGTGTCCTGGTGCACGATGTGGTTGAGGTCCTCGTGCACTCGGTCCAGGAGCCACAGCAGGAACTCCTGAGCGTCGTGCTGCGAGTTCCCCCTGAACTGCAGCGCGCTCTTCGACACCACGTTCTGAGGAAACACAAACCGTCACCGTCACGGTCAGAGAGACAGATGACCACAGACTAGAGGACTCACACTGGGCACATACACACCCATAACACTGCAAAAAGTGATGAAAAACAAGTCCAAAATGTCTCAAATCTGGCAAAATGTATCAATAAATCAATCAACTTTTATGTGTATAGTATCTGTCCTACACAAGGCAACACAACCACAGCCCATATCACATCAGGCATAAATCATAAACATTAAAATCGACATAAATGTTAAACTATACTATTAAAATCCCAAAAACACACAATGAGATCACAAGAAAATCAAAACCATTAAAACATTAAATTCACACATGGAATTAAAATCATAAATAGCCGCAGTGAACCAAAAAGAGTACAAATAGAATCGTCTGCTCACAAAGGCTTTTCTAATCTCATCTTAAAAGCAGATATGTAGCCGTTATAGAAATGACACAGATAAAAACTCTTCTCCTGTTTTTTATCTTGCTGTGGAAACTGTGAGGTGAGCACTGCACGGCAAAAAAGTGATAAAACTAGATTTGCCGATGAGACCAAGCAAAAGTGTCTTGTTTTAAAAAGAAACAATAAATGTCTCTCTTGGAATGAGAAAATAAAGCAACAGTTCTTGAAATAACCCTAAATGCCTTTGTCCTGTTGGAGAATCTTGTTTTAACGCAGTCAGAATGAACTCAAACAAGACAAAAAACACCGGGAGAGAGGCACCGGGAGAGAGGCACCGGGAGATAGGCACAGAGAGAGAGGCACCGGGAGATAGGCACAGAGAGAGAGGCACCGGGAGAGAGGCACCGGGAGAGAGGCACCGGGAGAGAGGCACCGGGAGAGAGGCACTGAGAGAGAGGCACCGAGAGAGAGGCACCGAGAGAGAGGCACCGGGAGAGAGGCACCGGGAGAGAGGCACCGAGAGAGAGGCACCGAGAGAGAGGCACCGGGAGAGAGGCACCGGGAGAGAGGCACCGAGAGAGAGGCACCGGGAGAGAGGCACCGGGAGAGAGGCACCGGGAGAGAGGCACCGAGAGAGAGGCACCGAGAGAGAGGCACCGGGAGAGAGGCACCGAGAGAGAGGCACCGGGAGAGAGGCCCGGGAGAGAGGCACCGGGAGAGAGGCACCGGGAGAGAGGCACCGGGAGAGAGAGGCACTGGGAGAGAGGCACCGAGAGAGAGGCACCGGGAGAGAGGCACCAGGAGAGAGGCACCGGGAGAGAGGCCCGGGAGAGAGGCCCGGGAGAGAGGCACCGGGAGAGAGGCATCGAGAGAGAGTCACCGAGAGAGAGGCACCGAGAGAGAGGCACCGGGAGAGAGGCACCGGGAGAGAGGCCCGGGAGAGAGGCACCGGGAGAGAGGCACCGGGAGAGAGGCACCGGGAGAGAGGCACCGGGAGAAAGGCACCGGGAGAGAGGCACCGAGAGAGAGGCACCGGGAGAGAGGCACCGGGAGAGAGGCACCGAGAGAGAGGCACCGGGAGAGAGGCACCGAGAGAGAGGCACCGGGAGAGAGGCACCGAGAGAGAGGCACCGGGAGAGAGGCACCGGGAGAGAGGCACCGGGAGAGAGGCACCGAGAGAGAGGCACCGGGAGAGAGGCACCGAGAGAGAGGCACCGAGAGAGAGGCACCGGGAGAGAGGCACCGAGAGAGAGGCACTGGGAGAGAGGCCCGGGAGAGAGGCACCGGGAGAGAGGCACCGGGAGAGAGGCACCGGGAGAGAGAGGCACTGGGAGAGAGGCACCGAGAGAGAGGCACCGGGAGAGAGGCACCGAGAGAGAGGCACCGGGAGAGAGGCACCGAGAGAGAGGCACCGGGAGAGAGGCACCGGGAGAGAGGCACCGAGAGAGCGGCACCATGAAAGAGGTACCGGGAGAGAGGCCCGGGAGAGAGGCATCGGGAGAGCGGCATCGGGAGAGCGGCACCGGGAGAGCGGCACCGGGAGAGCGGCTCCGGGAGAGCGGCACCGGGAGAGCGGCACCGGGAGAGCGGCACCGGGAGAGAGGCACCGGGAGAGCGGCACCATGAAAGAGGCACCGAGAGAGAGGCACCGGGAGAGAAGCACCGGGAAAGAGGCACCGGGAGAGAGGTGCCTGGAAAGAGGTACCGGGAGAGAGGCCCGGGAAAGAGGCACCGGGAGAGAGGCACCGGGAGAAGAAGCACCGGGAAAGAGGCACCATGAAAGAGGCACCGGGAGAGAGGACCCGGAGAGAGGTGCCTGGAAAGAGGCACCGGGAGAGAGGCACCAGGAAAGATGCACCAGGAGAGAGGCACCGGGAGAGAGGCACCAGGAGAGAGGCACCGGGAGAGAGGCACCAGGAGAGAGGCACCGGGAGAGAGGCACCGAGAGAGAGGCACCAGGAGAGAGGCACCGGGAGAGAGGCACCAGGAGAGAGGCACCGGGAGAGCGGCACCAGGAGAGAGGCACCGGGAGAGAGGCACCGGGAGAGAGGCACCGGGAGAGAGGCAGGCCTTCTTGTGGACGTCTCCTTTGGGCAGCGGCACGTACTCCTCCGCCTCTAAGTCAAACTCTGTGGCGAACGTGTCACAACGACCTTGTCTCTAAGAAACAGAAAAACAACAGCCCCATGAACGTCACGGATCACTTCCACCTCGAGCAGAGAACAAAGCTGAGCCAGAGCAGCGCAGGTGCGTGGAGCGGAGCCAGCGACGGATGAAAGAGGCTTCAGGTTATGAGGTCGTGGAGCTGGTGCTGACAGGAGGCGATGAGGGTCTTATAGTATTGTTACTGCTGCTTTGTTGGTGTCACTGCTGTTATCCAAGTCTGTGTGTATTCTGGGCTGTAAATATGTGTGTGTGTAAATGTGTGTATCTGTACATGTACGCACACGTGTACATGTACGCACACGTGTACCTGAACACAGCACCGGAAATAATTCAGACAAAAACCAAATATGCAAACACATAAATACTGATCACTCAAAAGGAGAGACATGGAGAGACAGAGAGACACACACAGGCACAGAGAGAGACACAGAGAGCGAGCGAAAGAGGCAGAAAGAGAGAGATACAGAGAGAGACAAGTAGAAACAAAAACAGACACACAAACACGTTATCATAGGGATAGATACTGATATAGAGTTGATTCCATAGACACGTACTCATACCAAAGGACCCGATGCCAGAATCGATACCCACATGATTTATTTACATTAGCGTCACGTGTTGCCATGGTGATCACCAAAAGTTGGCAGCGACCAGATTAGAGGCAAGAGAACAGGATGTCGGCTGTAAGGAAGTTTTTTTAAGTAAACGAGTAACAAGAGTAAAGCGGACTGAATGTTGTGTAAAACTGTCGAGAGGTGGGTCCAAAACAAACATCCTGCTCCACCCAGAGGCTACTCCATCTCTGCTGCTGTGACCCGTCCTGCTCCACCCAGAGGCTACTCCCCCTCTGCTGCTGTGACCCGTCCTGCTCCACCCAGAGGCTACTCCCCCTCTGCTGCTGTGACCTGTCCTGCTCCACCCAGAGGCTACTCCATCTCTGCTGCTGTGACCCGTCCTGCTCCACCCAGAGGCTACTCCCCCTCTGCTGCTGTGACCTGTCCTGCTCCACCCAGAGGCTACTCCCCCTCTGCTGCTGTGACCCGTCCTGCTCCACCCAGAGGCTACTCCCCCTCTGCTGCTGTGACCTGTCCTGCTCCACCCAGAGGCTACTCCCCCTCTGCTGCTGTGACCCGTCCTGCTCCACCCAGAGGCTACTCCCCCTCTGCTGCTGTGACCCGTCCTACTCCACCCAGAGGCTACTCCACCTCTGCTGCTGTGACCCGTCCTGCTCCACCCAGAGGCTACTCCACCTCTGCTGCTGTGACCCGTCCTGCTCCACCCAGAGGCTACTCCACCTCTGCTGCTGTGACCCGTCCTGCTCCACCCAGAGGCTACTCCACCTCTGCTGCTGTGACCCGTCCTGCTCCACCCAGAGGCTACTCCACCTCTGCTGCTGAGACCCGTCCTGCTCCACCCAGAGGCTACTCCACCTTGAGACCCATCCTGCTCCACCCAGAGGCTACTCCACCTCTGCTAATGTGACCTGAAGGGCTGTTGCTGATTATTACTATTGTTAGCTTTTCAGAGTGATGAGTTTTATTTTTTATTTTTCTATTTTGGCTGCTACTGAACACCTGAATTTCTACTACGGGGATCAATAATCTATCTATCTACGTATAACACCAGCAACTTGATCAAACATCTGAAGACTCACCACCACGACCACCACACGTATTAGGGGTGTGACGATATATCGATTTTTTGATATATTGCGATACTTTCTCCCGCGATTTGATTATTGCCAAGTATCGCTATCGATTTTTAAAAAAATAAGAAAACTCTCTTCTTTTTTTACAATAAAAAAAAAAAAAAATGGTATCAATACTTAATATATGGCTACATTACGCATCTCCATTCCATTTATCACGAAATAAAGTGTATTTTTTCTTTTATTTATGCCATCAATTGGCACATTGTATATTTCTGACCAATATATCAATAATCGTCATATCGTGATAAAATCGTTATCGTGACAATATTGTTATTGTGAGCTGTGTATTGTGTATCGTATCGTGAGGTACCCTTAGGTTCCCACCCCTACACGTATAGCACCGGAGCTAGCACAAAAACAACTTGAGTGGAATATAAAAGTGGATCTTTTCGTTGACTGTTAAAACAATTGCTAATATGTTTCATTGTTAAAGCAATTTCTTATTGTTTCAGTTGTATTAGTTTTATGAATTCCCAGGGATATCACAACGCAGTACTCGTATCGGTCCTCAGTAATGGCAAGTACTCAAATTAAAGTACTCATATCGGTTTTGAAAAGTGGTTTCGTGCATTTATCGTCTTGTCTTATGCATCTCTTTTTTCTACCGTTATATTACTATAAAGATATATATTAAAACAAGGTTATGAGGTTGTCAGCAGGAACAAATGTGAGCCGGCTCGCCTCGCTGAGCTCGGGACACAGGGCCCACTGTGCACAGCCCACCGGAGTCGACCAAAGCACCTCCGACGGACGCTTTTCAACGAGATGGCGAGATACAGAGACCAGAGGAATGAGTGGCTCGCGCTGCAGCAGGGAATGTTTGACAGAAGGGAAAGACTCCGGAGAGAGAGCCGTAGAGGACGGAGAGGTCACGCACATGACAACAAAGAGGATTATCAGGATTGAGCTCAAAAAGTCCAGCCATCAGGGCAAGTTTCTCTGTTTGAAGACTTTACAAGCGTTTTGTAGATATAGGACAAAAAACAGGAAGAGAATGTCTCTACAGCTTCCTGACAGAGTGAAATATGTCGAGCCTTTGTACAACATAACAGTTTAACATTCTGACTGAAGTTTTTTTCTTCTACACAATAATGTATTTTTTAGCTTATAGCCACAAGTAAAATGGTAGAGACTAGAATGAAAACATCCACGGAGCTCTTTACCTTCACAGCTCCACTGTTGGCCTCAATGTAGATGACGTCTCCCACTTCGACTCTCTCCTTCTGAAGACTTTCGTAGATGCTGGGATCGAGCTGAAACACCACATTCATCAGTACTGGGCTTTAAAACTGTTTTGTCAAGGGCTTTGTCAAGGGCTTTGAACCCTACAGCTTTTATAGTGGAAACCAGAGAGATCCCATAGAGACCAGAGAGAGACCAGACTGGATTTAATGTATTGACTTGACCAGAGCCCTGACATGAACGCTAACAGCTATTGTAGCATGCTAGTGTGTTTGCCTCCTCAGAGTTTATCATGGTATTTAGACTGTTGCAGCTAATGATCGTTCCAACTGTTGTGGCTGTTGCTAAAAAGAAGTCTGTGTAGGAGTTAGGCCCCGTCGCTTCAGGAGCTAAACTGTGAGCAGAGTGCAAGGCATCGTTTTGCTCTCAACTGTCCATGATGTATTGAAGTGTGGCTTATACATGTACCGAACGTAGCTGGTGCGGTTTATTTACAGGTCCATTGAATAATTGCAGTAAAGTAAATGAGGTAGACGTTCACCTTGAGCTGCTTGGTGCCCTTGGCGGTCTTGAGGCCGATGATGACGTGGCTGATGGTCTTCCCGTATCCGCCCATGGGGTTCTCCGTCTCACAGGGAGTCAGCTCCGTCACCTCTCCTTCGTACACTTCTTTTGTTTCTTTGATTCTCAGGCCTCAAAGTGAAACAAAATATTACTTACTCACTTAGAGAAGCTATACAAAACTTGTCACTGAGTACTTTTGATTTTAGTATTCACATTGTGCCCTCGACCAAAATGGATCCGACGTCGCTGCTCTACAGGCTCAAAGAATTTGTTTTCTCATTTGTGAATAAAGAGCATAACAAAGGCCACACAGTTTATCATTCCTAGCGGCCAGACCTGCTGCACAGAACACTGGACACTTTGACAGTGGCAGTAATCTGATGCCCGGCCGCTGGACGCACAGGTGGCCGATTCACACATAACTGCTCTGGACGAGGCGACGACAGACTCCGCATCAGCCCCTAAACTTGAGCAGGTGACTCTGAGGGAGGAGAAGCTCTAAAGCCTACGGAGAATGTGATCTGCATTTCCTCCTGTGACGGGAGCCATCAGCGTCCAGAACCTCCCACCCCCGCCTGTCCTGTCCCTGACAACATAAGCTTTGAAAGATGAGACCTAAACAAGGGCTGCATTTATTACTATTAATTTTAAGGAAAATATTGTGGGTTTTATTGGTTTACTGTATGGTATTGTGATAAATGGGTGAGCGGATTGGGATCACATATGTTGTATGTTGCAGGTTTGAACCAGATTGGCGCCTGATTGGTTAATCCTTTTATAGCTCATATCTGGATTTACAGAGACAATATTAAATACAAACACCAGCAGGTCTTGACATTAAGCTTTGCCAGCTACTTGCCCTTTGAGCTAGTACCATTTATATTCTACTTGCCCAATGTCAAAAATATTTCTCAATACAATGAGTTAACAAGAGTTTGGCAATAAAGTGGCAAAAACTGTGAATATAACTTTAGTGTTTTTAATCCACTCTTAGCCCAAAAAGTCAAATAATGACTCACAGGGCTCTTAATTATGCAAAATAGAAAAAAGCAAAATGGCCTGTTGTGGTGTGTTCTGTTTGACTTGTCCACAACCAAAATGCATCGTTAATGGAAGGGAAAATGTAGATACCCCAGCTTTAATTTAATTAATTTATTGAGAGTGTTGGTTGCACTTTGGGAGGAGACGTGGGGGAGACCCGCACTTGCAACAAGCTGGGGATGGTCCTGTCTGAGGCCCAGACTCCACCAGGCGCGTAAAACGGACGACGGATCCGTCCAAACATGTCCGTTTCATCTCCGTCTCCGTTATCTCCATGAGGGTGAATGGAAGTGGCTCCCCTGCCTCCGCATGCGTCCATCCGACGCACGTCCGACGTATTCCGTTAATGGAGGGTGCAACGGACGCGGACGGACGAAATAGAAACAATCTTATTTGTTCCGTCCGTCGACGCGTGTCGGGTCCGTTTTCCATTGAAAATACAATGGAATAATATATTTACAACATTATTAAACATGTATTGATATATGCTGTAGTCCTTGGTTATAAGTATTTGTTAATGACAATGATTATTAACAAACGTGTGTAATTTTCTTCATGTATTACTTTAAATAATTGTTTCCTGCTCGTACATCTACCATTTATTTTTTGCGTAATGTTAATACGCTAATCTTTACATACACCTCGCTCTTTTTTCTCTCGCTCTGTCCCGTCTACCTGCGAGGCGCTCTCTCCTCACCGCACACACACATTACACACAGAGCTACTGCACTTATGAGAGACAGATCTCACAACACTGGATATGTTGGAGTTCTTTTCTCTTTTCTCTCTCCCCTTTTTCCGATTGCTTTCAATAAGTTTTGCCTCATCCATCGCGACGTCCTCAATGCTTCAATATGCCGTGCTTTGCACTGATCATAGCCACAGCTCATGCACATCACACACAGCTTCTTCTATTTAAAACTATAGCGGCTGCCTGTTGCCTAAAGCCGCGGAGAGGGGAGTTGGGTCCGATAAAAGTGTATGACGCGCTAAATAAGTAGAAAACAAACGAAGAGGCTGGATCATAATAAACGCTGGAGTGACACAGACCCAAACACACATGCACGCACACGCCTCCCACCACACACACACACACACACACACACACGGGCGCTCTCACGCACACGCCCAAGCACACATGCACGCTGACAATACATAACTCCTCCATCAGCCAAACATTCATTCATTCACACAATGCCCAAACATGTCTCCTACAAAAACAAAGCAGGCTGATAAACGCACAGCCAGAGTTGCGCGTTGCTGCAGCCGGTTTGACCACTAGTCCTTTTACAGACGTCTGACGGACAGCAGCCAACGCGCGTCAACGGAGACGCTCCCGGTGGAGTCCAGGCCTGAGAGTCTATCGTCCGCACTTGGTACCACGTTGCGGCTGTGCGTTCGCTGAGCTTTCATTACAAAGCGGCCGCAGCTGCCCCGAGTCAGAGTGGAGGATGTAGAATCCCGTTTGAGTTCGTACAGCAAACAGAAAATGCCTGCGGTCAAACATTTCACAGAAATTACATTTTTCAGCAGGAAAACGTGGAAATCGCGGGTCCGCAGAAAACTTTCATCCCAGTTTTATTCTGCTGCTTTTCATTGGTCCAGAGAATTTACCAATGAAGAGAATTGGTCAAAAAAAAGTTAAACAGACGTGTCTGCTCCCAGCGCTAGAGGTAGAAATGCAGGGATGTGTTCCAGGCCTGAATGGGTTGTAATACATCACTTGCCAGATCATGCAACTTGCTAATACAGCGCACTTGTCCCAACCCAATTCTTTAGCTGCCCCGGGCAAGCGCACAACCCTTAATGTTGAGCCCTGACCAGGATCACAGAGAGCGCTAAACCACAGATTTATTTAAGGCCAAAATGGTGAGTGTGACAAACAGTTTGTGAGCTAGAGGAGTTTGCTTTTACATGTAAGACTTTGACAACTTTGTCCAGCAGATTCGTGGAGCAGGGTAGAGGGTTAGCATGGTTCCTCTGTATATAGTTTATGAACACTCACCGATGGCTCTTCTGAAATTCTCCATCAACACTTCTGTCTTTTTGATCTCAGAGGAGTAGACTTCACTGCCAACCATCGGACAGAAGGGAACTTTGTTTCCCAACTCCTGCGCCACAGCGAGAGCCAAAGCCGTCTGAAAACCAGAAACATATTTGTTTATCATTGACATTAAACACAATGGAAACATGTATATTATTTCATTAAGATTTATTTCAAACACAAAGCTTTAGTATATTAGACTTGACCACTGCACAAATTGTTATTTTATTACTTTTTATAGGGAACACATGTTGCCAGTTAAAAAGACATTTAATATAGTGACAGAATACCTCAAGATAAGAGTATATGTATAAATAAAGAATAATGAGAACTGCCCGGCGACAGCCACAAAGCGTCACAGCTCTAGAAGAGATCTGAATGGAGGAATGAGCCAAAATACCAGCAGTGTGAAAATATTTTTAAAACGGACAGAAAACTTTTGACCTCTATCATTGCCAACTAAGGGAATAAAACGAAGTATTGAGATACATGTTTTTGACTAAATACATATTTTATTAAACTATATTAAATAATTTCTGTTTTCTACATAGAGAATGTATGACTTGTATGAATAAAGATGACTTGTGTATATTTTTGCCCCAAGAATGAATCCTAGGTTTATATTTTTTCGGTGAAGATTAAGATATTTTCATGTTTTAAATTCCTCTGTGTACATTACCTTTCCTGTTCCTGGAGGTCCTGCTAATACCACTGCTCTTCCAGCCATCTTCTTTGAACGGATCAGCTCCACAATGATGCCACAGGCCTGGAAATATAGTATATATATAGTTTAATTCTTTAGGGAAATTAAGTTAGAGAACATAATATGAAGCATTTGTTTTAGTTATCAAACTTATCTTCTATTGTTGCGTTAACAGTCGAACTTCCAGAGCAGTCAATCTGACGGCTTATAGTTTAATAAGTGTAATCTCGTAAACTTGTATGCACATTCATAGACTTTTATCTTCTGTTTTTATATTATATCTTATTTCTATGTCATCATAATGAAATAAGAATATGAAAAAACTTGTATTTTTGAAATGTGAGGAGTTTTACCTGTAACTCCCAGAGCAGATGTAAAATTCAAAGGTAGCAATGTTTGCAACCAACATTCTCTGAGAACTGAAACCCCATTTCTCCGATATGTTGGTCATGAAGGCTGCGTCAGCTCAATATTTACAGTCTATGTTCTTTCCACCAAAGAAGATAGTGTACTGGTTACCATGGGAACACACTGTTTACATGGCACTGGCTACCATTTGGTCGCTTTTCAACAAACTGTGTAGCTGTATTTAAAGTTATATTCACAAGTAAAAAAAAGCAAAACCAGTTTGAATTATTGCTTTTAATCAAAATATTTTTGGGGGGATTTTAGAATTACATTTGAATGAAAAGAGTCAAAATGACTGCTCGGGAGTTCTGATAGTTTCAGAGTTCTGGGTGTCCTAACATTTATAATAATAGTCCATTTAATTAAGACTCATTATAGTGCCGCCGGTACTTGCTCATACAATCTATGGTACTAACGCTACATATTCCTTTCAATCACGTTTTTCCCTGTGACCCGGGTGGAAAACAGTGACCCCATGGTCCATGCTAACACAATTAGCATTTAGCTTCTTCGCCGTTACATTGCCTAGTTCCCTCTCTCTCCGGGTTCAAGCGTTTCTATCATTTCATTAAAATAAATTCCAGTTCCAAAAGAATCAGTAAACAATAAGTAAAACTATTACCTCTCTCGCAGCCTCTTGTCCAACCAAACCACATGCTGTCTGCTTAGCATTACCGGCCTCGTCCAGCCCCAGTCCTTTGACATGACTGTGAGATGCGATGCGCTGGGTTTTAGTGGTGCTCTTCACCTCCTCGATCTTCATAACTAGTTTATAAGTGGAGAAAAAGCACCAATAAAACTCTAAACTATCCCTAAATGTGGGAGAACTGCCTCAGAATAGCTACAACTCTCTTGCCTCCACAAACACCGCCTAAACTCAAAACACAGAGAAATCCGTTACCATGTGGGTTACTAGGGGCATATGCGGAAGTGATTCCCAAAAGTAACGCCCACAACATTTAACTAAAAACAATAACAAAATGTTAACTTACAATTTTACTAATACCATACTGATTCATGAGCACGGAAATGTGCATTAATATTATTTTTTACATTTCCGTTCTCTAAAATCTTTTCACTCATAACAGTCTAACACGTTCATTGGCTGAAACGTATGTCAATCAAACCGCAACTCCTTCCCGTGTTTACATTCACTTCCGCGTTTGCCTCGCATGTCTGAGGCCATTAGAAACTTGTCAGTGAGTAAAATACACTTTGTTATATGCGATAATCTAATCTAATCACCTCTGGGATAGCGTACAGTTGTACACGCCACATCAAAGTTGCAATTATAACTTAAGGAGATAAATCGGACGTTTTAAGATAGAAATTTCCAAAGTTAGCATGCAGTCACTATGAAGAGCCATTTGCAGAGAGGTTCAATGTCCAATTTAGCGTAGATAAAAGCAATATTTAATTTGTTACTACTCAATCTGTTTTGAAAATGTCAGAGCAGTCAGAATCGCGCACCAAAACATTAAATTTTAACGTGGGAGTGCTGGGGCATGTGGACAGTGGGAAGACTTCACTGGCCAGAGCTCTGAGCAGCACTGCATCCACTGCTGCTTTTGACAAGAACCCGCAGTCCAAAGAGAGAGGCATCACTCTGGACCTGGGCTTCTCCTCCTTCACAGTCCCGCTGCCCGATCACCTGAAGGATTGCGCCGGGGATCAGTATGACAGCCTGCAGTTCACCCTGGTCGACTGTCCAGGGCACGCCTCTCTCATCAGGACCATCATTGGAGGTGAGTGACTTGTGATGGTAGATTATCATAGGCACGAGACTAGATTTAAACTTTGTGTCAAGATTATCCAGTCCAGTTTAGTGAACAGTTTTGTATTGTATTGATATAATTTATTATTTATTTTTTTAAAGAAAAAAACTTTCTTCCTCACATAAACTCAAAGTGGGACAAGCGCACATTAGCAACACATAGAATGTATTTGTGTAAATCCCTAAAGCACAGTCGCAGGCATCTAAGAGGACTTTATAAAGTTGTAGATGACTCGACAATAGATCAGGGAAACAAACAGTTCAAATTCAGGAAATGAACACATAGGAGCCATAGGGACCCATATTGGTCAATAGGGTGTGGAGGACCACTGTCCATTAATGTTAATAAAGAATATAACATTAAAAATATTTTTTTTAAAGATTATCACTGTCCCTCAGTCCTCCTGCATCACCAAAAAATACTCAAAGAAAATAAAAAGAAAACTTGTCTGAAAAAAGGGAGACATTTTGGGGAGGCCTTCATTCAGAGAGGGATCTACTGCCATGGACAAACAGAATGTAGATCCAGGACTGAGGCTGTAGATCCAGGACTGAGGCTGTAGATCCAGGACTGAGGCTGTAGATCCAGGCCTGAGGCTGTAGATCCAGGACTGAGGCTAGTTATTACTATAATCATTGTTAGTAAAACATCTGCACTTGTGTCATCATGTGTCTTTAATTCTTATTTAAAAGTACTGTAGTGCAGTCGCTGTACATTTCCAGTGTTTAAACTCTGAAAGCTGCAGCAGGTGTTCCTCCAAAGGTGTAAACCCATCCTGAATAAAGCCTGGATATCTGATCACTATTCTCCAGAGGCCTGTTGATCCGACTCACAGCATTTTCATTATCTTTATTCAAACCTCCCCATACTATATTCTGCAACACTCTCATATATATTTAATTTATTAAGATACTATAAAGCCTCCTGTGCAGTACAGTCTCGTATCAATGAAGTAAAGTGCTGCTCATATGTCATATGTAATTGAATACTCGAACCGCCCTGTATTTCTCTAGTGATTAAGTTGATTTTATGTGGTAACTTTGACATGTCCAGCAGAGGACGCAGTTTCTCTTCTTTAATGAGACTATGGATTGGTGTGGAGTGTTATTTAGTGTTTACTCTTCTGTCTTTCATGAAACAACAGAAAACACTTTACAAAAATGTCTTGATTTAGTTTTGTCATTATGGAGTTGAGCATTCAACCAGAAGTTCGGTAACACAAGTATCAGATAATAATCACAACACAGATTTAGATATCTGCATAAATGTAACTGTATGAAGGTGTAATTGCTAGTATTTATATATATTATATGACAATAAATTGCGCCTAACATGCTTTATGAGAGTTCCCGAGTGTGACTCAAGAGTGTGACAGCTCTGTGATTAAAAATAAATAAATCTCTAGCCTTGTGGTCATGGTCCTAGCCCGGGTCCTGATCATGATCATGATCCTGGCCCTAGTCCTGGTACTGGGACTGGCTCCTAAAGTCAAAAGTTTTAATGACGATTGTCGCGTGATGATCAAACCCCTATTTAATTTTGCAATAAATGTGTGTCCCATTCCTACTAAAATTTGAAGGAGTCAAAATAATAAGTGCATAAACTCACAGCCATAATCCTATAAAAGCAAGTCCTGTGTATTTCAATGCATTTCCTCATATCTCTGCTGTTCACATAAACACACCGTAGGAATGGGTGCTACGTCATCAGCTTTGAAGATCAACAGCTGATAGAACTTCATCTAACAAAATAAAAATGCATACAGTGCCTTGCGAAAGTATTTGGCCCCCTTGAACCAGATTTCAGGCTTCAAACATAAAGATATAAAAAATATTTTTTTTGTCAAGAATCAACAAGTAGGACACAATTGTGAAGTGCAACGAAATTTATTGGATAATTTAAACTTTTTTAACAAATAAAAAACTGAAAAGTGGGGCGTGCAATATTATTCGGACCCCTTGCGCTAATACTTTGTAGCGCCACCTTTTGCTGCAATTACAGCTGCAAGCCGATTGGGGTATGTCTCTATCAGTTTTGCACATCGAGAGACTGGAATTCTTTCCCATTCTTCCTTGCAAAACAGCTCGAGCTCAGTGAGGTTAGATGGAGAGCGTTTGTGAACAGCAGTCTTCAGCTCTTTCCACAGATTCTCGATTGGATTCAGGTCTGGACTTTGACTTGGCCATTCTAACACCTGGATACGTCTATTTGTGAACCATTTCATTGTAGATTTGGCTTTATGTTTTGGATCATTGTCCTGTTGGAAGATAAATCTCCGTCCAGTCTCAGGTCTTTTGCAGACTCCAACAGGTTTTCTTCCAGAATGGTCCTGTATTTGGCTCCATCCATCTTCCCATCAATTTTAGCCATCTTCCCTGTCCCTGCTGAAGAAAAGCAGGCCCAAAGCATGATGCTGCCACCCCCATGTTTGACAGTGGGGATGGTGTGTTCAGGGTGATGAGTTGTGTTGCTTTTACACCAAACATATCGTTTTGCATTGTGGCCAAAAAGTGCGGATTTTGGTTTCATCTGACCAGAGCACCTTCTTCCACATGTTTGGTGTGTCTCCCAGGTGGCTTGTGGCAAACTTTAAATGATACTTTTTATGGATATCTTTGAGAAATGGCTTTCTTCTTGCCACTCTTCCATAAAGGCCAGATTTGTGCAGTGCACGACTGATTGTTGTCCTATGGACAGACTCTCCCACCTCAGCTGTAGTTCAATTTGGAGAGACGAGAAAACAGGAAGTTTTGAGTATTTTATTGGGAGGAGGTTTGGCGCCCTAGGCCCCGGTGCGGCCTTCAGATCGGAAAGGCTCCTGCGCTGGAGCGCGCACAATCCCCCGGGACCTAGGCACTGGTGGCGGCATTTGGCAGCAGGAAGCAGATTGGAGGCAGATTGGAGGCAGGGTGAAGAGGAGGAGGAGGGGAGGCGGTGGTTGCGAGGCTTCAGGAGGCAGAGAGTGGTAGTTTTTCCGTTTTTATGCGGCTGGCGTAGTCGGTACGATGATTGGAAGGGGGCGTCTGCTGAGCGATAGGCTGGGATGCGAGCCGGCCTGGAGGGGGTAAATTTGGTTAACGTCTACCAAATTGAACTTTCGCTGGCTGCATTTATCTGCAGTTCATCCAGAGTGATCATGGGCCTCTTGTCTGCATCTCTGATCAGTCTTCTCCTTGTTTGAGATGAAAGTTTGGAGGGACGGCCGGGTCTTGGTAGATTTGCAGTGGTCTGATACTCCTTCCATTTCAATATAATTGCTTGCACAGTGCTCCTTGAGATGTTTAAAGCTTGGGAAATCTTTTTGTATCCAAATCCGGCTTTAAACTTCTCCACAACAGTATCTCGGACCTGCCTGGTGTGTTCCTTTGTCTTCATGGTTCTCTCTGTGCTTTAAACAGCACCCTGAGACTATCAAAGAGCAGGTGCATTTATACGGAGACTTGATTACACACAGATGCATTCTATTTATCATCATCAGTCATTTAGGACAACATTGGATCATTCAAAGATCCTCACTGAACTTCTGGACTGAGTTTGCTGCACTGAAAGTAAAGGGGCCGAATAATATTGCACACCCCACTTTTCAGTTTTTTATTTGTTAAAAAAGTTTAAATTATCCAATAAATTTCGTTCCACTTCACGATTGTGTCCCACTTGTTGTTGATTCATGATAAAAAAGTAAAATTTTTCATAATCTTTATGTTTGAAGCTTGAAATGTTGAAAAAATGTTGAAAGGTTCAAGGGGGCCGAATACTTTCGCAAGGCACTGTATATACCGTACAGTACATATGAACAAGGCCGCACAAGCAGCACTTATAAATAAATAACCACTATTTTCTCGCATTTCTTGGTGTTTGTGATGTGGAAAGTGGCCTAATACTGCAGAGAATACACACACACACACACACACACACAGGTTACCGTCCACAGAACAAACAGGGCTCTTTTCCAGATGACATGTCTTGCTGGTCGGGCGAGTGTTTTATCCCCAGCAGAGGAGCGTGAGTGTCTGGGGTCAGCACTACATGCAAAGCCTTTCTCAGCCGTTCTCAGCCTGTATCATCTGCGTCTGTATTATTCATCTGTGTCTGTGGAGAGGCCATGAGGCTCCGCACTCACAAGATTTGCTTTGGAACTTGTCACTGGCTTCAGTATTAATGTTACTGCATGTTTTTTTAAAAAGTCTGCAGCTGTGTATGAAGCTCTGCCGGCTCACTGGGCCGGAGGTCTCACTGCAGGAGGCCACACTTGTCTTCAAAGTGTTGAGAAATGTTCAAGGTGTGTGTTGTGTATGACAGGCTGGACTCACGAAAACACAATATACTCACATGAGAATTATTATCTTGTATATATAAATTGTCTATAAATTGTCTATATAAATTGTCTATATAAATTGTCTTTAAATTGTCTATAAATTGTCTGTAAATTGTCTATATAAATTGTCTGTAAATTGTCTATATAAATTGTCTATAAATTGTCTGTAAATTGTCTATAAATTATCTATAGATTGTCTATATGAATTGCCTATAAATTGTCTATGTATAGTCTATAAATAGTCCATAAATTGTTTGTATAAATTGTCTATAAAATGTCTATAAATTGTCTATAAAATGTCTATAAATTGTCTATAAATTGTCTATAAAATGTCTATAAATTGTCTATAAATTGTCTATAAAATGTCTATAAATTGTTTATAAAATGTCTATAAATTGTCTATAAAATGTCTATAAATTGTCTATAAAAAATTTATAAATTGTCTCTAAAATGTCTATGAATTATTTTTAAATTGTCTACTGCGCTCAGAAATATTGGTTTGACCTGTCATATCTACAGCACAGCCGTTCTCATTGTAAATCTGAATAATTCACCCAAAAAGATAGATTTAGCACCAGTTTTATTCATAGTAAGTCTTTTATAAAGGTTTTCCTAACCTTTACTCAATTTTAATCAATGCTAAAACCAGTGGATAAACCTCAA